TTTAATTTTTATGGGTGCATAAATATATATATATATTTATGGGGTATATGAGATATTTTTAGACAGGCATGCAATGTGTAATAATCACATCAGGGTAAATGTGATATCCATCACCTCAAGCATTTATTGTATCTTTAAACATCCCAATTATATCCTTTTAGTTGTTTTTAAATGTACAAGAAATTATTGTTGACTGTAATCACCCCATTGTGCCATCAGATGCTACTCATTCATTCTATCCTGACCTTCAGTGTCTTTATCTGCAAAATGCCCAGTACTGTTCGTAAGGTTTAAGTAGAGATGATTTACATAAAGTAGCTGGGAGATAATAGGTACTCAATAAATAATACTTGTTATTATTACATTTATAACTTATTTTTAGGTCTATTACTGAATAGTCCCCATGTTTTCCAGAAAAATTAGAAAAGTCAGAAGAGCAATAATGAAATGGACATATTGTTATATTTCTATTAACTAACATCAGTAAGTTTGTTAGGTAATTTTATAGAGATTCAAAACTACATTATGTTGAGTTCCTCAGGGTTTCAGATAGTTACAACCATAGGTCCAGGTATGACATCTGGGACACCTCAGACAATCAGTTAAAGTGGGCAGGCAGAGGCCCTGGGTCACAGTGAGGACGAAAGAGGGCAAGGCAAATCCATCCTCACAGGACCCTGCAGATCCTGCTGCTGTTGGGCAGAGCAGCGGCCGCCACAGACCTGGGATTCACCGTTAGCCTATATACTGGCACATGCCACTCCCTGGAAAAGACAGTACTGCCCCACATAGCACAAAAACACTGTTAACCAGTCACCCTAAAGGATTTGTCCACCTTGTAAATATGTAGAAGGATCATGACAGTCCAGCTGTTGCTCAGATGGACATGGATGAAGATGGAAGTGAGTGTGAGGCTGATTCCTGCCCTGAGGAGGGCAGCACTGGGAATCCAGCACACTCTGCCCAGACTGCTCACAGCTGTGTCTGCTTTTCCCTCCTGAGTGGTAGGAGTGGGTGGGAAATGTGGGGATTGTTGCTTGGAGCCTCTGCCATAACCTGGTGAAGCTGGGTCTGGAGAGCGTGCACCCTGACTGGAGCCTCATCTGCCTGGAAACTAGAGATCAGCAGCCACGTCGTGTGGGTCATATTTAAGTCCCAGCTCTGCCAGCCTGTCAGCTGCATGCCCTACACTCGCTCATCAGCACTGTGGGTGTGAGAAGACCTGGCTCCCAGGGTGGCCGTGTGCTGGGTAGTGGCTGCTGCTGCTGCCCCCATGTGTTGTAAATTCATTCATTGCATGTGGGGTTCATTATTCCCTCAGAGTTGAAACCAGAATATAGAAAACCTGAGCTTCCTGGAAGGTAAAAGGTGGTGTGAACCCTAGAAATCATTTAGACAGAGCTCAGTCACTGAAATCACCTGTTGAGGAAAGTGTGACCAGCTAACGACTCTGGCCTGGGGCTCAGCCCACTGGCACCCGAGTTCTGGTCTTTATGAACAGCAGCAGAGAGCAGCTCTGCCCGTAGCAATTTCTCATGTCTTTAGCTTAGACCAGAAGCCTCATTAAAACTCCCTGGATTCTTTTCATTATCATAAACTGTGTTTGTTTCTAAGTGTTGCTCTTTTGGTGTTTGTTTTTATGCAACAGAATATTAATTTAAAGGGGAGGTGAATGAGAATCCTTAAAATAAGCCTTGCCTCAGACACGACTGGCTGAACACCCTTTCTTTCCTGCCTGACCTCTGAGTTTCTCAGGGAACCCTTCAAATCCTCCTGATTCCTCAAGACTTTCACTACCTCTTTTGCTGTTTTTACTCGGCTGTTTTAATACTTAGAAAGCAAGTTATATTTTATTCATATCCTATGCCAGTTTCTCAAGTGCAGCACTATGGACAGTTTGGGCCAGATTATCCTCTGTGGTGGGGCTGTGCTGTGCATTATAAGATGTTGAGAACCATCTCTGGGGTCTACCCATTAGATTCCATTAGCACCATGCTATCCGCCAAGTTGGGGCAAGCAAACTGTTTCTTAAAACACTGACACATGTTCCCCGCAGGGCAAAATTGCTTTTGTTTGAGAATCACTGGCCTATACTGTGCCTTTTAGCACCTGATTTGAGCTTTTTGTATGTCTTTTAGTTGCAGTACAATGTACTACAATAGAAAGGAGTTGGGCATTGTTGATGCTGTCAAATTGCACAACTCCCTGTAAACGGTATTTGCTACACTTGTGTAGTGGGCAGCCTTGGACTTTGATCCACACATATCGGAGTTTTTGGCTTTTTTCACTGACCAGTGGGAATTCACATGTGGCTCATAGGGTGGTTTTATGTGTGCATCTTGAAACACCTTGACTGCCATGTAGCACATCCTCAACAAATGGTCGTTACATGATTGCTCCATTTTGGTTCTTAGTAAGTGGGGGCCCTTGGGTAGAAGAGGCTGCACGTTCTTTGTTGTATCCAGCCCTCTCCCCACCCCAGGTGCCTGTTACTCCCTTGCTGCCTGATTGACTTGTCTTACCTTTAGCTTATAGGCTTTACACTGGTGCCTCGCCTTGTCAAGTTTGTAGATAATTCTCACCAATTGGTATGTTAGAATGAACCGCAGAAGATTAAAGGTAAGTGCAGACTGCCGTTGAGAAAAGCAAAAAGCACATGAAGTTTGAGAGTAGAAGAAATATGAGAATAGCCCAAAGGGAAAGGAACATTTTCAGATGCTCTCAGTTTTTGAAGCTATGTTTTTCTTCTCCTTTTACCTTGCATTTTAACTATATTTGTCATTTGAGGCATGGGGATCTATAAGTTCTAAAAGTCATTTTGCATGTTTTTTTCGCAACACAATTATGTACATATATTGGAGGGAGAATGTCAGGGCACAACCAGGACTAAACTGAGCAGACCTCTTCACATTCTAAATAAAATCATGCAAATATTTTATAAAAATATTGGCAGGTAGGGCTTTAATATTGAGAGATATACCGCCTTCCTTTTACCACAAGGGAGCTGGTTATTTGGCTGTGGACGGAACTACTGTGTAGCTGTTGGGGGTTTAGGATGAGCACAGCATAGGTCCTGGTCTCAGGACTTAAGCAAGGTACATAAATAACAATGATGTATAACAGGGAGAGCGAAGTCTCTTTACCGTAGGCCCAGTAAAGGCTCCCACCACCCATTAGTCGTGTCTTTTTTTTTTTTTTTTTTTTGAGACAGATTTTCACTCCTGTCACCCAGACTGGAGTGCAATGGCAGGATCTTGACTCACTGCAACCTCTACCTCCCAGGTTCAAGTGATTCTCCTGCCTCAGTCCCCTGAGGAGCTGAGATTACAAGTGTGTGCCACCACGCCTAGCTAATTTTTTATTTTTAGTAGAGACAGGTTTTATCATGTTGGCTACGCTGGCCTTGAACTCCTGACTTTATGTGATCCACCTACCTCAGCCTCTCAAAGCACTGGTATTTCAGGCATGAGCCGCCACACGCAGCCAGTCATGGCTTAAAATGCATTAAAAATAAAACCCTGCAACACAACTATAATTTCGTTTTTGTGCAGGTGTATCTCACACACACATATCTAGAACATATGCTAAGGTGTTTACAGTAGTTATCTCTGGATAACTTATTCATGGTTGAAATTTTTTCATTATCTTCATTTTTCCTACAATGAATTAGTTTTTTTTTGTACACAGTATATATTTTTTAACATAAAATATCTTGTATAAAGGCACTTTAAGTTTTCAGTTTGCAGCTTTCTGTCTGTTGTGGGTAGATCCATTCTGCCCTCAGCCTTTTGGTCCTACAGTTAGGCTTTACTTTCCTATCCGCTCGCCTCAGGTGGGGTTAGGGGGACAGCAGCTGCACATCCTGGCCAGGCTTCCTGCACTGCCTTGCAGGGCCACCCTAGACAGCCTGTGGTGGTGGCCCTTTCTTCTTACTCTGCCTCGTGTCCTGTGTGCTGCATGCTGTTTGAGGGTTGCCTCTTTTTAATCAACTTTTTTTTTTTATGATAAACACTTATTTTAGCAGTTTAAAGTTTAAGTTTATGTTTCCTTTTTATTCATTAGGGTGAAAATGGGATGGAAGATTGTGTCATGGCCCTAGAAACCTTGTTTAGTGTTCTGCTCTCTCTTTGCAGACTTATGGTAAGATGGTTGGCTTCTCTCTAGTACCCTTTGGCCTGTGTGCTGCCTTCGGTACCCGCTTGCTGCAGCGTCCTCCTCTTATATCTGTTCTCTTTTATTCCACCAAAAACAGAAATAGACGTTTTATAACAGCTTATAGCTGTAGTTTCTTTTCAGAAATCTTATTAGCTTATACATGTTAAGTAAGGACTAAGAAACACTAGATTTTTTCTTACAATCTCTGTTAGTATAGTGTATGTCAGGGCCCTTGGCTCGAGAAGGAGGATCTACAGTTTGAAGTAAGACATACCTCATCTTAATATATGGATTGGCATAATTGCGAATAATGGGGAAGTTCTTTAGCTAATACCTATCCTAGCAAATATATCATAAAAAATACTTTGACTTAGCATTGAGAGGAAAACGTGCAAGTAATTGTTCGATATATGTTCCTATCAGTTCAAATATTAGTTAAATAATATAAAAGTGGAAAGGCTTCAACTTCCTTTTTATCCTGTTTCTGCTACTCCGTATATTATAAGGCTCCTATTTATTCCTTAACTGAAGGAAAATCTGCTTTGTACAAGGTCCTGTGCCTGATCCTCTCCATGCCTGATCTAACCACCTTCATCCCGTGAGGCAGGGGGTGTTTTCCCAGTTTACAGATGAGGTTTCTGAGGTTTGGGACAGTCAGTCCTCTGTGCATACTGACTTGGCCAATGTATCATTAGGTGCTCCTGTTTCTGTTTTAGACATCCTTCAGAATTCTGGAGATGCTTTGGGTTTTTCTGGCTACAGTCCTGCAGCTATGCTTCAGGGCTGTGAGGCCATTTCTCATTCATAGGGCATGTTTTATAACCTCATGCCCATTTCGGTGCATATTACTGTGTTGCTAACATGTTTAGTTGTTTCTCAGTAAAAATGAGGTCAGTTGTTGGTGACTGCATATGACTGACATGATGTCCTGTGTCTTCATACAGGCTCCCTACACGCCTTTTCTCACCGAATTGACGTACCAGAATCTAAAGGTGCTGACTGACCCTGTTTCTGTTCAAGACAAGGACACACTCAGCATCCACTACCTCATGCTGCCCGTGTTCGGTAGGAATCAAATAGAAATAAGCCTCACCTTTGCCAAGGAGGGAGCGTTGCTCAAGCATGTGCAGGAGAGGAGGCATTTCCCTGTTCCAGCTCCCTCTGTGCCCTGCCTCCCACCCTAGCCCCCAGCTGACACGAACCCCTCCTCAGGCTGCACGATGAGGCCCACATTGGTACATGGTAACAGGGTTGCTTGGTATGGAACCCCGTTGTAGAGCTGCAGCATGTGGGGTGTGGGCATGCCCCATGGGGGCCCCTTGGGGAGGTGCCGGGTGCTGAGGCAGGCTCAGGCTGCTGCCTCCTTCTCTGTCCCCAAGGCGGGCACTGCACTGCCCTTCCCCCGGCGCCTCATCAGGGCCTGGCCACACTTCTGTAGCCTGACCCTCTTCCTCACGTAAGCATGCCTAATGTCTTGAATTTTCCTTTTAAATCTAATCTCTTTCATATTCCTACCTCTACCACTCAGAGAAGAATTGATTGATAAGAAAACAGAGAGTGCAATATCTCGGATGCAGTCTGTGATCGAACTTGGACGAGTGATCAGAGACCGCAAAACTATTCCCATAAAGGTTTGAAATTCTACTTCTATTTTACATGGCACCGACCTAAATATTTAAGTCTTTGGGGTATTTTCTTAATACAGAGAGCTTCCAGCAATGGCCTTTTTTCTTTTCTGCAGTGAGGGTGTGAATGACTTAGTACTAGTCCAGCCTGACTAGTCTAGAGCTTGAGGTTCAAATAAACATTTAATATTCATTTTTCTGCAGTTTAGGAGACTGGATGCTGAGTGACCTTTCCCCTCCCTTTTCCTCCTAGTATCCTTTGAAAGAAATTGTGGTTATCCATCAAGATCCAGAAGCTCTTACAGATATCAAGTCTTTGGAGAAGTATGTCATTGAGGTAAGATGGATGATTTGTCTGTTTTGGGTACAAATAGACCTCCCTTGAGAACATTATTTTGATGAATAATCTTCAGTAAAGTACATATTGACTGTATAATTTATTTTTATGAGTATATTCATAACAAATTTAACAATATATGATATTTTACACTGTTCTTGGAATCAACATAAATTTGATGTAATTCTTTTAAAAATGTTTTAGGATCAATGAATTTTTTTTTTTTT